AAAAATCTGGGGTGTTACAGTTGGTATCAGAGCCTAAGTTTGACCCTAGGAAAAGACTCTTAAGACCGGACTTTAGGACATTAGGCTTGAACTCTAGGTACCTAGGAACATAGGACTCAGGAATCTTAGGACGCGCGGTGAGATTGTGAAACCTACACATAACTTCTCTACACTTTACCCTTCCTCATTCTAAAACCCTTCCCCACTTATCACTTCATAAGAAGTACGTCAGACTCTAATTTAACGTTCTTATAAACACTGACCAGAAAGACGATAGCATGGCACCGAACAGAAGGCAATCAAGAACTCCAGAGCCCGCCACAGACGACCCCTTGACCCAAACCCTACGACAGCTGACACAAGTTGCACAGGCATTAAGTGACGCGGCCCTTCGCAACAACAGGCCCCCACCACCTCCATCAAACGCAAACTCAGACGTCGCCCGACAAGTTTCAAATCACCGACCACCCACGTTTTCGGGAGAAGAGGATCCCGCGGTCCTAGAAGAATGGATCCGAACCCTTGACAAGATTTTTGGGGTAGTAGAATGCCCGGAGGAACGCCGCGTAGAGATAGCCTCGTTCTACTTCGGGCACGAGGCCGATCTCTGGTGGATCCACGAGGGACCCACTTATCAACAAGAACCGGGGTTTAATTGGGAGAACCTCAAGACACGACTATGAGAGAGATTCTACCCAACCCACGTAAAGGCATCCATGTACGAATTGTTCCTTCATCTAAAACAAGGAACGGCCACCGTCGTGGAATACCATAAACGATTCCTCGAGCTGGCACGCTTCGCACCAGAGCTAGTCCCCACCGAGGTAACCAAGATAGAAAGATTCGTGTCGGGCCTCAACTTCGAAGCTCGGAAGGCGCTAGTGGTAAGCAGACCTCGGACCCTCAACGAAGCTTACTCCAGCACCGCGAATCTCTATCGAATCCAACTACTCCAACGCGGAGTTCAGGAACAAATACGAAGAAGAAACACCGGACGCCAGTGAAAAGAACGAGAAACGACACCGGCACAAGGACGAACTACCCGACCAACCAAAGACCGCCCCTGGGAAACAACGAAGCTAATCCAAGAAGCTTCCCTTGCCCAAGATGCAACAAAAGCCATAGGGGCAAGGATTGCGCGGGCAATCCCTGGCGATGCTTCAACTGCGTGGAGGAAGGACACAAGGCCTTCCAGTGCACTCGACCCCAAAGACCACGCCCCGCCACCGTGGGTCAACACGGGGGCACCGATCATCAAGGGAGTTACGGCGCTCCCGGGAAAGTATTTGTCATGAGCCACACTCAAGCCAACCTCGGGAACGAGGAGGACCTCGGGAGGGGAAACCCAATCCCGGAAGACGAGGACCATACAGACCCCACAGAAGAAAACCAAGAAGACGAATACTGTCTAGGATAAGCCGTCACACCCCCTTGTAACCACCCCCCTCTTTTGTCATAAAGACCACTTACTTAGCTTAGCTATTTCGGTATTATTATGAATAAAGATTTTTGATCAAATTCCAATTTCCACTACAAAGGTAAAACACAAGTTATACTATCAACCCAACCTTCCCTCCACTAAAGGACGAAACAAGGAAAAAGACAAAAACCACACCATCAAGAAATACTTAATGTTACCATTAAGAATGGAACCTTGGAACCTCAACCACTAAGCCAGAGTGTTTCTTGAAACCTTAAGGGAATACTCCCTTATTAAACCCCTCCAAATCCCTAAAACCCAAAAAATCCCCAAATCAAAAACCCTTCTTCTTCTTCTTCTTCTTCCTCCCCACTCCCTCTCCTCCTCCCTCTCACACACCCCGCTGCCCCACCATAGCAACCACCCACAATCACCTCACGCCATCGCCAATCGGTCGCCGCCACCGCCCGGCCACTCCCCGCCGACCTCGCCCCGCCTCGCCGCCGTCCAAACCGAGCCACCGGAGACCACCCGCTATCCACCTGAACGCCACCCAGCTGCAACCCGCTGCCCAAACGCCACCCCCACGCCGTCGCACCAACCCAGAACCGCCTAGCCGCCACCACCTCGCGACGCCACACCGTCGGAGACCCCACCGGAAAAATCGTGCCAGAACACCACCGCCATCTCGCCGGAAAACACGCCGGAGGCCCACCCGAAAACTCGCCGGAAAACCGCCGCCGCCTCGCCGGAAAAGAAGATCGCCGGAAAAACGCCGAAAAACGTTGCCATCAACCGAAGCACCACGATGCCAAAGAAACCCCTCGGAACCCGCACCCCGGAGTGGAGCAACGCCGATTACACCGTGATCAGAGGTAAAACACTTGAACCCGACCAATTCTCTCCGGAATTGGTTGATATGCTTAAACATCAAGGGCTTTTAGATCCGTATCTCACCATCAAAGGGGATACGTACCCCGAATTTGTGAAGGAGTTCTATCAACACCTTGTAGCCACCAAACGGGGTGACAAGGTAGAAATCACCACCAAAGTTCGTGGCAAGGAAATTGTGCTTTCCGAAGGCCGTTTGGCCAAGCTCTTGAAATTGACCACCACGGGTGTGTCTAACTATGACCGAAAGGGGTGGATTGATACCCAAAATACGGGATACAAGGACTACCTCGGGTACCTACTCGGGAAGGAGGACGGGTTCACCTCGGCCACACGGCCAAACCGGAAGTGGCTATCGGCAGAACAAAAGATATTGGTTATGATTGTAACCGATAGCCTCTTGCCCACCAATAATAAAAGCAAGGACGTAGGGAGCCTAGAGTGCACCTTTGCTTATCTCTTGAAACATAAAATCAAGTTCAACCTGCCGGCACTCATGCTAAAGCACATGGAATTCTGCAAGACAAACAACCGGCTTAGTCTACCCTACGGGATGATCCTAAGTTGGATCATGGAAAAGAAAGGGGTGGACCTATGCCACACCGAGGTCAAAACCGCCAATGGTATGGTTTTCAATGCTCAAAACCTTCGCCGCAACGACATCTACTACACCGAAGGGGGACATTACCTCACCCTCGAAGAAATTTGCCAAAAACCCGAGGAAGAGCGGAGAGAATTGGTTGACCGGTTGGACATCTCCAACAAGAAGCTCAAGCGAGCCATGCAAGATTGTGGGGGCTCGGAGGGAAATGAGGAACAGGAGGAGGATGACGGGCCTAACCCGTCAGTGCACCCACGGTCAGGAGGGGACCCGAGGGGACAGGACGAGGGTTCGGTCAATGAGCACATTCTCGCACAACTCAACCGACAGAACCAAATCATGGAAGAAGGGTTCTCATCCTTGATTCGCACCAAACGCGCACTCGATCAGAGGGTGGCAGCAATCGAGGCCGCCTTGGGCACTCGTGGGGCGTCCAGTTCCAGCGCAGGAGACCGAGGTACACCCGGAACTTCTCTACCACAACACCATAAAAAGTTCAGCCTACCCCAAGCCAAGACAAACGTAAGGCCGCAACCCTAATCAGGAGGCCGAGCTACGAGGTGTCTAGGGGTGAAAGGATGGACTATAACACCGGGCTTCGGGGACGAAGCCCCTTGTAAGGTGGGGAGAGTGTAACACCCCGTGTTACGACCCCTAAAACCATTTAACTAATTAATCAATAGCCCAAGAGAAAGAATAAATTATAATGATTAATTAGGGAAAAAGGCCCACCATAGTCCATGGGCCCTCATATATAAACCCAACCCCTAAGCCCAATCCTTAGTTCCAAAAGGAATAGAATTAGCAAACCTATAATATTAGTTCCTAATTAGGACTCCTAAATATATAAATAGGGGACTTAAGAGGCACCTAGAACTCCCCACAAGATTAACGCCCCACCACCCCAAAAGAGCTCCAAGAATCCCCTTAGGAGAAATCAAGAAAGCAAGGAAGCTTAAAGAAAGATCCTTCATAGCCAAGGAATTAATTAAGGCTAAGAGGTAACCCATGTCTCAACAAAACCTATTTTCATAGCTATGATTCCCCCTTAGGGTTTCCCCATATTATTGTGATTGGCGAGATATGATGATGATTATTAATGTTTGATGTGATGATCCCATGAGGGATCTTGATAATCTTGATATTGGGAGATTCTTGATAATTATGGTGTTCTTGATGATTATATGGAGTTCTTGATGATTATGTGTTGTTCTTGATAATTGTGTGATGTTCTTGATGCTTATGTGTTATTCTTACCGAATCTTGCAATTAGAAGACGAATTGTATCCTTGTTGATATAAAAGTGATTAGAACCCTAGGTTGTATCGTATGTTATGATTCTTGGATTGTGGGGTGGGGAAATCGCATGTTTGGGTGTTGATTATGTCTAGGAAAGCATGATAGGTTATGAGCCGTTCGTTTCTCGTATTTGATCCGTCAATTGTCTACGTGTTGTCATTAATTACGTCGTAAAGTGTCTAAGCATGGTTTCGGGTTCCACAACGGTTCCCGGGGCGTATTGTGTGATAAGAGTCAGTGGGGGGTAGGGGACCCGCCACCTACCCACGGCCGAGAACACCTTCCCGGGCTCTATATATTTTCGTATTTTTGTGACACTCTTATCCCCAAAATGATTTTCCAGCTTCGGGGACGAAGATTCTTTAAGGGGGTGAGGATGTGACACCCCGTATTTTCTTAAAATAAATTATAGTCCCAATAATAAATATTTTTATTAAAAATATTTATATAGCTATTTATTCTAAAAGGGCCTGGGTCTACCTATTATTGTGAACCTGTATTTTGACTATTTTCATACCCAAATGAATTAAGCCCAAAAATATAATTATTTATTGTAAAAGTCTTGAACCCAAATAACTAAGCCCATGAGTATATATGTGTTATTATTTTGTATGCCAAAATATATGTATGTAAGGTGTTTGATCCAAAAGTTTTACCCAACCCAATTTCCTAATCCAATTCTAGTCTATCCCATGGCCAAGTCACTTTTTAAATCTAAATGTTGAGCCAATATAGTAACCCTATCTTTAGCTTTAATATGTATGCGTATGAAGAACTGAGAATTCAACATGTTTCTTCGGTACCCCTTAGCAAGCTAGCCGCACCCCATCTTCCCCAAACAATTCGACGATAAAGTTACCCTTCCCTCTCCCTTCCTTCGACCTTGCCTCATCCTTGGAAGAGTTCTCGACCAACAATGGCGACAGGGAGGTGAACATCAGCAACAAGCATCGGCGATCTCTGTTTCCGGTCTCCCTTCGCTCGGCAGGAGGCGTGGCAGGGGCGTCAGCAACGGTCTTCTTCGGCGAGCTCGGCCAGCTACAGTGGCGGTCCCGACGGTCTCTCGACGTGAACAGAGCTCCTCGACATTCTTTTCTCGTCGACGTCGGTGGAGCTTCGGACAACACAACAGTACTAGCTCCTCCCTTCCTCGTCTTCCCGGCAGCGGCTTGGTTGACGCACAAGCTTATCCTCTCCTCGGCGGCGAGTTTCGGAGTGGCGTTGGCAGCAGAGAAGCAACAACAACAACAAGAGATGGAGGAGGCAGTTTGGCGTTACGGGTCGCGGCAGCTGCAGTGTCGTACTCTCCTCCGACGAATCTTCCGGCAGTGCGTTAGGCGTGGAGGGTGAACGTGGTGCAGCTTGGTGAGACGGGAGGCCGCGAGTGGTGGTGTGCCTGCCGTTCCACCCGCGACTTTGGCTGCTTAAGGAAGACGAAGAAGATGAATGGGGTGAGCTGCTACATTTTTTTCTTGCTTGCTTAGTAGTTAAATAGTTTTGTTGTTGATTAGGTTACCAAAGTGTTGCTTGGTTTAGTGGTAAGACAGTGGTTGGTGTTTATGGGGTGGCTAAAGTTCAATTCTCACAGAGCCTTAAGCAGTAGTTATTAGCGTAATAATTAGTCTTGTTGCTGCTTAGTTCTTAATATGATGCTTAAGCTAGATGGTTACGGGTGGTCAATCTTAAGAGGGACTATGGTTCAAATCCCCTTAGTTATAATTAGTACTTTTGTTAATAGTTGAGATCCGGTTTAATTCACAGGTTCCCGGTAGCTTGGCTTTTTGAGTTGAGCCTAAGTTGGCGTTGTTTTTGGATGTTAAGCGAATGAGGTAACCCATGCTTTACAAAACCTATTTTCTTACTTATATGATGATTCTTGGCTTCTATTTATGAATCTTGTGTTGATTTGTGAGATTTGATGCATTCTCTTGTGGTGATGCATATTTAGAGCTTGTTCTTAGGGTTCTCGAATGCCATTGCATCGCTATGTCTTGGGTTCAAGTCATATTATTGTTGTGTGTGAGATTTTGGGTGTTTTGGACTTGAACTTGGCTTTGTTGATGAATTTCCCCGAAGGGAAAATTGTTGTGCAGGGTATGTACCCCGCGGGCAGAAGCACGGGTAGGGCACTACCCATGGCCCCACCCGCGGGGAACATGTATGATGATTGCGTGGATTTGTTCCCCGTGATCCCTTCTTCTTGGTATTTGATGTTTTAGCCTCCCGTTGTTGAATTGTTGAGCTTTTGTGAATCTTCTTGATGTTTCGTATGTCTAGAACGATGAGTTAGGAATCCATGTTAGGATTTGGTGTCTTGAATCGTGCTAATGATCCAACCTTGTGATTCGTTGGATTGATGTTGAGTCTTTGTGGTTCATTGGAACTATTTTGGTTTACCCGTTTGATATGCATGCTAGTCTTGGTGTCATTGATGCTAGTATGTGTTGTTTGTCCCTTTCTATTGAGGATTGGCAACTCGTGTTGCCAATCATATTGATATTGGATTGAGGTCCATTGTTGTTGTTGAGTATTGTTTCATGTCCTTCAATGAAACCTCTTAATTGAATCCCTTGATGTGATCCCATGTGTATGATTAATCCTTGATTAAGATATTGTTGAGCTTATCCCTTGTTGTACGCACTTTGTGTGGAATCTAGGTGTTGTTGTATCTCTAGATTCCTTGTGTATTAACTCTTGTTCAGATGATGGATTGATGTGATGAGATGATTGAGCAGGTAAAGTGGACTGTGTGGGGACTTATGAGTGAATGGATCGGTATTGAAGCTCCGGGTGGCCGTTTGGATACTTTACTCGTGGGCAACATGAAAAACTTATCCCCGTTGCCAGAGAGGGTAGCTAACCCGTTGAGCTTGGAATCTCAATAGGGGGTTTATACACTTAAAGTTGCTAGCTCTATTTCCATTGGGGTACGGTCCTTGTCATTGTGATGACACTATGCATGTGATCCGGGTCGTTGCGATGACTACGTGATACATGTTTGTTGATGATTTGGAGCCCTCCACACTGATCCACTATGAATCGAGCCGTGGTGTTGACTCCATGGTATATGAACTTGGAACTATGATATTTGTGACATGAAGTTGTCACTGTAGCATGTAGCTGTGAATGTGTGAATGTGTTTCTTTGCTATTGAGCATGTCTTGATGTATTCTACTTTGTGATCAGTAGAATACATCTTGAGTTGTATTGTTTACAGTAGGTATTCTTGTCTTGTTGTTATCGTAGGGATGTTGATTTCCCTTTTCCTTTGAGAGTGTGAATGAGTCTTTGAAGTTGACTTCACTCTTTGGCTTTTGAAATGATATATACTGTATTCCGTTTCGAAAATGGTTTCGACTAGTTTAGGTCGACCTTCCACCCGTACCAACCTCCGGGTCGAGCCGACCCCTCGGTTTGTCCCATATCTATTCTTGGGCTTGCTCCATTTTCTTCTTGGGCTTCTCTTCTTCTTCTGGGCTTGATCTCTTTTCTTCTTTGGCTTTTCTTCTTCTTCTGGGCTTGATCTCTTTTCTTCTTGGGCCCCGAGCCCACGGGGTTCACACCCCATCAGACTTTAGGATATTAAGCTTGAAATCTAGGTATTTAAGAACATGGGGTTCAGGAAACTTAGCACACACGGTGAGATTGTGAGCTTACCTATCATTACGTAACTTTCCCCTCACTCTAGTCTACACTTAATTTAAAGAACCCCCCCTACGCTTATCGCATCAAGGTAAGTGTGCAACACACTAACTCATCATTACGATAAACATTGGCCCTGTAGGCCATCAGCATGGCACCAAACAGAAGGCAATCAAGGACCCCCGAACCCACCACTCACGATCCTCTGGCTCAAAATCTACAGCAGCTAACTCAGGTCGCCCAGGCACTGAGCGACGTAGTCCTCCGTAACAACAACCGACCACCACCACCGCCAAACGCAAACTCGGATGTCACTCGACAAGTCTCAAACCATCGGCCACCCACCTTCTCGAGGGAAGAGGACCCCACAATCCTCGAAGAATGGATCCAAACCTTCGACAAAATCCTCGGCTTAGTGTAATGCCCAGAGGAGCGCCGCGTAGAGATAGCCTCATTCTACTTCGGACACGAGGCAGGCCTTTGGTGGATCCACGAGGGACCCAATTATAGGCAAGAACTGGGAAAGCCTAAAAGCACGACTGCGAGCCCGCACACGTAAGAACAACCATGTACGAAGAATTCCTCCACTTAAAACAAGGGATGGCCACCGTCAGGGAATACCACAAACGATTCCTCGAGCTGGCCCGTTTCGCACCAAAATTAGTTCCTACGGAGACAACCAAGATAGAGAAGTTCATGTCAGGCCTCAAATTCGAAGTCCGAAAAGCCCTAATCGTGAGCAGACCCCGAACCTTCAACGAAGCTTACACCAGCGCTGCCAACCACTATCGAATCCAACTACTACAAAGGGGAGTTCAGGAGCAGATCTGTAAAAGAAACACGGGAGGTGGGGCGCCACCCATGAAAAGGATTAGAAACGACCCTAACACGAGACCAGTCAACCCAGCCAGTCAAGGGCCGCCCATGAGAAACAACGAAGCAAACACCAGACCCTTCCTTTGTCAAAGATGCAACAAGGACCATAAAGGCAAGGATTGCCTGGGAAACCCCTGGCGATGCTTCAACTGCGGGGGAGAAGGACTCAAGTCTCTCCAGTGCACTCAACCACCGAACTCGCGCGCTACAATCATGGGCCAACACAGGGGCGCAAACAATCAAGGGAATTACGGTGCTCCTGGAAAAGTATTCGTCATGAGCCGCACTCAGGCCGATCATGAAAACGAGGGAAACTTCGACGAAGAAAACGTGGCCTCGGGAGACGAGGACCCTGCAAATCAATCAGAAGAAAATCAGGGAGAAGAATTCTGCCTAGGATGACCAGTGAACCACTGTAAACCACCCTCGTAGTGAAACTGCTTGTTTAGTTTAGTTATCAAGAAATTTTTATAAATAAAAGACAGAGTCAATTAAATAGAAGGACTAAACATCCCCCACAAACCCACGAGCCGCAAAAATCCACAACACAATGAAGGCACCTCTTACCACTTTGGGTCAAAAGAAGGATAGGAAATGATCCAAAAAGATGCACAACAAAAAAAAACTAATGCTATCAATGGGAATGGAACCTTGGACCTCTTACTTATAAGATGAAAGTCTTAACCACTAGGCTAAGCATGTTTCATGAAACCTCAAGGGAACACTCCCTTTTTAAACCCCTCTAAATCCCTAAAAACCCACAAAATCCCCAAATCAAAAACCCTTCTTCTTCCTCCTCCCACACACCTCCTCTCTCTCTCCCTCTCTTTCCCTCCAAGCACCGCCGGCATCACCCCCGACACACACCCCCCGACCTACCGCCTTTCCGCTGTCAACCACCCGGCTACCGACCGCCTCGCTCCCACCGACGACCCGTCGCTGCCATCACGCTGCCCGCCGACCACCAATGTAGCACCACCACGACCGACGCCCGCCTTCACCGTCGCACGCCTAGCCAACTCCCACTGCCAACACGGCCTCCTGCTCTGCCCAGGACAGCCGCTCCCTCGCCGTCAACTCCGAATCTCCGCCGAAGTCGAGCTGCGTCACTGCCTCGTCGCCAGAACCCCGTCGGAGTTTCGTCGGAGCCTCACCGGAAAAGCATTATCGGTAAAACACTACCTTGGAAAATCTCGCATTGCCGAAAAAGCCCATTGGTACCCGAACCCCGGAGTGGAACAACGTTGACTACACGGTGATCGGAGATAAAGCCCTCGAACCTGACCAATTCTCTACGGAATTAGTCGATATGCTTAATTTCCAAGGGCTTTTGGATACCTATCTCGCAATCAAATGAGATACGTATCCCGAGTTGGTGAAGGAATTCTATCGCCACTTCATAGCCATCAAATGAGGGGACAAGTTGGAAGTCACCTCCAAGGTCCGGGGCAAAGAAATAGTGCTCTCCGAAGGCTGTTTGGCCAAACTACTGAAACTGACCACTACGGGTGTGTCAGACTATGACCGAAAGGCATGGATCGGTACCCAAGGCACGGGGGTACAGGGATTACCTCGGGTACCTATTAGGAAAGGAAGATGGCTTCACCTCGGCCACCCGGCCAAACAGGAAATGGCTAACCGCCGAACAGACGTTGCTAGTCATGATTGTAACTGACAGCTTGTTAATTATATATATATGTTTGGGTGAGGTTTTGCATGTTCGGGTGTTAATTATGTTTAGAAGTCATTTTAGGATGTATTTAAGGTGATCCTTGATTTTGATCCATTAGTTGACTACGTGGTGTCGTCGTTTGTGTTTAAAAGTACCTAGACATGGTTTCAGGTTCAACGAAAGATCCCGGGACCAAAGTACTACAAAAGAGTCAGTGGGGGGTAGGTGGGGGTAGGGGAACCCGCCACCTACCCGCTGCCCCCTTTGGTGCCGCCGGCAGCGGGCAGGCGATTGCCCGCCGGGCAACCTGTAACACCCCGAAATTTTAGAACATTTAAAACTTATAAAATAAGGGTGAAGTCTCATTAATTCCCAAGAACGAAGCATAAAAAGTACGCGGTGCTATGCCACACCTGAGCTGGAGAACTCAGGTGCATCGGCCAACTAACTAATATCCTCAATAAAGTAAATGCATAACATGGCACGCAGACCAAAAAGGGAAACTATCTACTTCTATACTCCAAGATCTAGCGCGCTCCAGTGACTTATTCTTCTACGCCTGAAAGCCAAATATATATGTTCAGCGAGAGATGCTGGTAACCCACTCCAACGAGTTGAAATACAATACATATATATATA